ATATAAGCAGTAATAGGATCCAGAAAGCATACAGCAGGGAATTTTAAATAGGTGATGAGGGAAAGCCTTACTAAGAAGGTAATGTTTGAGTACAAGCTCAAAAGTGGTGAAGGAATAGGCCAAATGAGAGATCTTAAAGGCCTGAGTTGAGGAATGGCTGGTGGGACAGAGAAAGAAGGTAGATTTGAGAAATATTCAGCAAACCGAGGAGACAGAATTGAGGGTTGATTAAAGGACACTGAGGCTGCGGTTATCTTCGGAATCCTAGCTTAAATAACACATTCCATTAGCTTCCCAAATAGTCCACACATATTAAGCCAAAAGATTTACAACTTATTTATGTAAATCTATGATCCATGCAGGATGAACTACAAGAAATTCTAGTTTTCACCCTAATTACTGTGCCACAAGTTACCCATACATAAAAAGCAAAGTTAAATGTACTGACGAATGGCTCTGAACAACTACAGAGTTCCATAATCATATGAAATACAATGCCAAGAACTCTCCTAAAGAACAAGAAAAGCTGCTCTTTCTGTAGATATACCAAATCTTTGACACTCTGAAAGGTAGATGAGAACAGAAGGTGATATTTCACAGAAAGCACTGGATAATGACAACAGACCAGGTTCTGTGGGAAGACCAAATCTGACAAGCAGACAGAATGAAGTCCCATGGGAAGATGAAAAATGTGTGCTCAGATGTCACAAAAACTGTCCCAAAAATGAAAGGAGTAGAGTCAAAGACAAATGAAGAAGTAACCCAAAAAGGTTAAGGCTACAATCTCCCACTCGATTGAGCGATGAGGAATCTGTCAGTAACCTCTGTCTAAGCAGCTTAAGCAGAGAGAAGGAAGAAGGCAAGGTCTTGGTGGTTCAGGAGGAAGTCAGGAGTGAGCTACAGAGGCAGCCACAGCAAGCCACTTTCGGGAAGCTTATTGGAGGGAGGGAGAAAGGAGGTGGCAGATAAACTGGACTGAGGAGCTTGGAGGATCGAGGCAGGGCACAGGTAGAAGCAGGCTCCTAAACGTCTCATTCTCTACAAGTGAGAGTTTGTTGAGAAAGAAACCTAAGAAAAATAAGACCAAGTCCTACCCAAGGCTGAAGAGATGGGGTGGGTTGGCCTTAAAGAGAGAGGACAAACATCCATGCTGTGGCCATAGTGGAGGCAAGTGAAGTGGAAAGAAGGTGAAATTCACGAAAAAATGGAAGAGTTCTAAGACAGAAGTCCAACAGAGATCATAATAGATTATCACCAACGGTGGGACTTGGGACAAAGAGGAACAGTGTGAACCACAACTGAGTCATAAGTAAATACAGAAGAAAAGAGAATGTTATGGTTTGTATCTGGACGTCCCCCCAAAGCCTCATGCAGTCATAGGGGGCGCTTTTAGAGTTTATGACTGATTCATGGGTGTGAGCACCACACCCGCCCCAGGACGGGTAGTTTGCATAAAATGTAAGAGAGTGAAAGAGGCTGCTTGCCTCCCCTCCCCCTTTTTGCTCCTGTTGCTTTTGCTGTTTTGCATCCCCATGAACTGTTGCCCTCTACCGTGTGCCACCCTGCCTTGGAGCCAGCTGAGTATGGACTGAAACCTCCACAAACTGTGAGCTAAATAAACCTTTCCTTCCTTAATTTTGGGAGTCAGCCATTTTTGTCTCAGCTATGAGAGAAAAGTAACCAAGACAGAGAGGGTAGGTAAGCTTTGTATTTTCTACTAAATAAAATCTGAACTTCTCACCCTTCCTTGTCTTCAGGCTTCCGTTTGCCTGTGAAATACTGTCCTCCTGCTATGTCCTGACAGATGACACCAGGCATTCAGTCACTGTTCCCAAACAATGGCTTCCCATAGTCTGCCTTTATTAATAAAATAAACCTTAGCCTAGAATTTTCCTCCTATTCCCATCATACCTTTACTAGACTGAACAGTTTCCCACAAAAATTCAAATCCAGCCAGAACTTCAGAACTGGACTGTCATGGTTTGTGTCTCAATGTTCCCGGAAAGCTTCATGTAGTCATGGGGTAGGCTTCTAGAATTTATGATCGATTCATGGTCTAATGTTGGGAATATGGGTGTGAGTGCTACACTTGCCCTGGTGCAGATAGTTTACATATGTAAGGGAGGGAAAGAGGTTGCTTGCTGCCCCTCCTCCCTTTTTGCTCTTGAGGCTTTTGCTGCTTTGTGCGGCAATAAACTGTTGCCCTCTACCATGTGCCACCCTGCCTTGGAGCCAGCCAAGTATGGACTGAAACCTCCACAAACTATGAGCTAAATAAACCTTTCCTTCCTTAATTTTGGGTGGCAGGTATTTTGTCTCAGCAATGAAAGAAAAGTAACCAAGACAAGGACCATAATAGGAAATAAAGTCTTTGTGGATGCAATTAAGTTAAAGATGTTAAGATGAGATCACCCTGGATTTAGGGTGGATCTTATACCCACTGAGTATTGTCCTCATAAGAGGGGGAGAGGACACAGAGACACAGAAGGGAAGCCCATGCGACACAACCATTAGAGTTATGCTGGCTCAAGCAAAAGGATGTAGGAGACACCATGATGATCAAGCAAGGAAGTGGTCTCCCCCAGGCCTTCAGGGGAAGGGTGGCCTTAGGACGAAGCACCTCACACATGCTGGGTGAGTGCTCTGCCACTGGGCTGTATCCCAGTCCCCTACTGACATCTTGATTTCCTCCCTCTGGCTTCCAAAAGGGTGAAAGAATAGGTTTCAGTTTTAATCCACCAAGTTTGTGGTAATTTGATGCTACAACCCTATGCAACTAAAACACCATAACCCTTCATAAAATACAATTCAATTTTTCTAGGCTTTTTCTTACAATTCAAAAAGTTTTCAATGTAAAAATTAAAATAGAAAATTGCTTCTCTATATCAACACTCCTATCAAGAGCAGACACCACTCTCCTACGAACACACTCAAATCTTTAAAGGCATGGCCCATATCTTAAGGATCTTTGTATCACTTCACAAAATCTATATTAGTTGCTACTGTTCGATGAATGATTATCTGATGAAATATCATTTGGAGTCCAAGGTCTGTCCTCAAAGGTAACATTTCCTTGAAGGCAAAGATCAGGTCATCATTGTACACATTCATGGCATCTAGCAAAGTATCTCAGCACTAATTAGCAAAATATTTGTTAACAAGTGCTAATCAGATCAACATCTTCATTGACTAGATACAATATACTAAAAATATTTCTTCTGTTTAAAAATACACCAAAGGTAAGTGTTGGTGCTTTTGAGTCTCTGCCTTGCCTTGGAGGCTTCCTGCACAAGATCTGGTCCTACAGGGAAGGGTGCACACCTGTTTTTCCAACCCACCCTTGCACCGGGTGAGGAGCACCACGACCACTATAGTTATATTCATTTACCCTGCTGAGGAGACCATCCACGAGTGGCAGTTTTGATGCTGATACCCCCATCACATCTTTGCGTATTACTCAAGATGGAAACTAGATAAAGACCAGTGGTCTTTGATTTTGTCAGTGAACACTCAGGCCTTGCGTGGTTTAACTACCACACTGTGCCCTCCTGACTACTGTGACTTTGAGGGAGTTGCATTACAGTTCTGTTCTCTGGCCTCATTGCATTTGTCTTTTGCCATCTGCATTGAAGCTAATTCAACATCAAATAGTATTTCTTCTACAACGCATCTTAACACCTCCTGTTCCTTGCCCACTCTTTCTAAGTAAAACACCTCTTAGTTTCTTCTACAAATAGAACTGCTTCCTCAGGAGCCAGGCTTCTGCGGCTCCAATTTTAGAGGCTCAACACTATTCAAATACCAGGTATTCATCACGAAGAAAAAATGTTACACTCACATAAAGGAAAAGAAAACTAAAGAGAAAAATTAAGCAAAAAATTAGTACTTGTAACCTTTAGATGTGTGAAACTGTCAAGATATTTTAAAATTCTATTACCAGGAGTGCTAATTAAACTTATTTTCCCTCACTCACCACTCAGTCTAAAACAGCATTTCTTTTTTTCGTGTCATGATTTGGTTTATCGTGCGTTGCGACACTATAACATTGACTCGTGTGGCTTTTCATTATACAATGTCTCATTTTAATTCTACAGTGTTTCGGCTTCATTGTAGGTTAAATTGGCTCTTCTGGGCTGAAGTTTATTATAAACTTCGATATCCCATAACTCGAGCAGACTTAAAGCCTAATAGAATAATGTTTTATCCATACAACTAGGTTTCAACTTCAAAGGTTCAAGAAAATCTACCTGAACACCTTTTAATTAAATCCAAGGCAGTGCACCCTTAATTCACCACCAGCACCGGGTCCCTGCCACGCGGTTTCATTTTGTTAGACTCTGGATGAGAAAACTTTAAAACAGTGACATTTTCTGTTCTGCAATAAATAATAGCACACTGCGCCTTGTTTTCCAACAGGGGAAGACATTTTACTTTTAATTTTGTAAACCTGCATTTAGTTTAGCATGTACCACATTCCAAAGTTTTCCACTACATCATCTCTAGTTGACTTGAAATATAGTTTGAATGTGCAACAAGATAACACTCGCTAAGTAAAATTTTAAGTCAGTAACAGGCAAATTCAAATAACCACGACACGCAACATTCTAGAGTCAACGTTAAAAATCAAGTGACTGGACTGGGCCCGAAGGGGCGGAATGTGAGACCTGGGGAAATCTGGGGCCCCCGAGGGGCTGGGATTCCAGGATCAGCAGTCAGCGAAGTGACAGCTGGATTCAGGACCTCGGTGCAGCCCTCAGCGCACCCTCAAAAGTTGGACTGGAACCTCTGGGCCGTGGAGGGGCGGAGTGGGCGACGCCGGGGGTCTGTCCGTCCCCGCCCTGGGCGCACACTGTCCTCCGAGGCTGAGCAGAGGGTCCACCCGGGGTGCTTGGTGGGGGGTCAGGGGGCGGAGTCTGGGGCAAAGGAGGAGCCCCGGGAGGAGGAGGGAGGTAAGGGCGGGCCGGTCCCGCGGAGAGGGTGGAGGCGCGGTCCCCACTCACCTGCGGGGCGCTCGGGCCGAATGGGGCGCCACCGCAGGGCGCGCTCGCCCAGCACCACGTCGCAGCCGCCCCTCCCGACCTCGAAGATGCCGCGGAGCAGGATCCGCTCGGCCGCCGCCTCGGTCTCCGCGGGGGGCTGGAGCCGCGCCGGGGGCGCCTCTTCCTCCCGGCAGCCCTCCAGGGCGCTCACCCGGCT